TGATGGACCTCAAGATGTTCCATTTCGAAAGGCGTAACTAAGCGGCTTATGATCGGTGAAGATAATGAGGGAGTTACCTTCGAGGACATGTCGGAAATGCCGAACGATGTAATACATCGTTAACATGTCGTGACTGAACATGCCTACTTGCTTTCCGCGGGTTTTAAGCGTCTGGAGTAGAACGCAAGTGGTTTCCAACACTAATCTGTAAGTTGCGCGGATGTCGGTGTCCGATACGTCCAAAACAACGCAGAGCGAGTTGCTCAAATCAAATTGGTGAGGAATTTCGGGTGCGGCTAAGGCTTATTTACTGACCTTGAATACTTCGGCGGCAGTAGCATTAATTTTCACTGTGCGGACTCTATCGTCAAGTGACATTATGCCATGTTGATCGATGTAGTGACCAAAAAATTAGAAGGATGGCTGCTGAATAGTGCACTTGTCGGCATTGACAGCGTTGCCATTTAGTAGCTAACCTGTAGAAAAGAATCTTGAGATGTACTGCGTGCTGTTTTTTGGTAGCGATTTACATTGGGATATCATCGATGTAGGAGTAGACGAAATCGAGACCTAAAAGGACGGAATCTATGAATCGTTAAAGGGTCTGGGCTGCGTTATGAAGACCAACGAGTATGCTTAAAGATTCGGAGAGTCGAAATGGTGTGATTATGACGGTCTTCGGTATATCTTTTTAGCGACCTGGATCTGGTAATGAGCATACATCAGATCGAGTTTCGAGTACACACGGGCGCCACGTAGTCTAGCCGTGAGGTCCTGCTTGTGAGGAATAAGGTAATCGTCAGGAACGGCTACACTATTCAGCGCGCGGTAATTGCCACATGGACACCAGTCTCCAAGTTTCTTGGGCAACGTTTGAAGCCGTGGCGCCCACGGTCTCTTCCTTGGGCAAACGAAACCTAGCTCCAGCTTATGCTTGGATTCCGCGCGGGCAACTTTCGGCTTCTCAAGGAATCATTCGCCTGGCTTCGGCAAATGCAGACGGACCTTTGGTAACGGTGTGGTATTCTACAGCATCCTTAGCAGATGGCAGCGTTGCTTTTGCGCAACGAGACTGAATCTTAGCGTGGTGCGATGGTTTGTGTGCCTTAGTGACCCATTGAGCTATGCTGGATGGTGCTTCTTTGCACCTTCAGAGCCATTCATACCATATTGCACAGTAGTTAGAGGCCAGACAAACTCAGTCTCCCGACCCTCCAGATTGCTGGTTTGACTGACGGTGGCTCCTTACTCCATAAAACGGGCTCTGTCGTTAAATGCCAAAACCCCGCTGCCTTGCGGTAAGGTTTTTGAACCATAAGGTTTGGTTGAGAACCCTAATCGTTCGCCTGTCTAAGCCCGGGCAACCTCACAGTATCCTGCCCACGCAATACAATGAACCTTCTAACAATTTCTTAATGCTTTGGCCCTCGCAGATGATAATCAACGGCGCCCTGTCTGCTGCATCGAGCAGGGTGGATAGCAGTTTGGATTCCACTGCTCAAGCCTTCCGCCTACTTATTCCCACCGTTGTGTTTTTTTATCCTTAGCGTCCCGCTCCACCTTTACTTTCATCCCCCATTTTCAATCCCCCAATTCTTGGCCCTCCCTCACCTTGCTTCAATAGTCGTTTGTGTTCTAGTTTCAGCTCACACACACAGTCGTAGAACGTCGCTCCAGTTCAGTCAACAAGTCCATGTCCAGCCAAGCGGACAACGTCAGTTCATCCGTTTCCCACTGGAGTCTTCGCGTCTCGCTCAGACTGGTGTGCCTCAACGTGCGCACGTTGCTACATATTGTCCAGCAAGCAGCACTTGCCCGCACACTAGAGACCCTATCGATTGATGTTTGCTGTTTATCAGAAACCCGCCTGCAAGATTCGTATTCCGTGGTTACCCTGTGATCCCCCACATGCGACGCTGGCGCCACATTCTCATTGCGCCTGTCTGGTGATGATGCAGCTTCAAATGCCGGTCAAGCTGGCGTCCGCATTGCTTTGAGTCCCCGGGCTGAAGCTGCGCCGATCGATTGGATCTCAGTCAACATTCGGATGTGCGCCGTTAGATTAGCTGGTTTGTTCCATCCTACGAAGTGGCGCGGGGACAAGCTGTGTCTATTAGTCATTGCGGCCTACGCCCCTACAATCTGTAGCACTGATTCGGTAAAAGGTAATATCTATCAGCAACTTCACGAGCCCCTTCGTTACAGAAGAAGCACGGATACTGTGGTGTTGGCTGGCGATCTAAACGCCCGAGTCGGAAAATTGTCCTCTGATGCGCTTCATCTGGGTGGCCAACATGGTGTAGGCTCCCGTAGTGATAATGGTGAGCGGTCGCTACACCTGTGTGAAGGTGCTCGTCTCTCTCTCTCGAACACAAACTTTCGACACAGCACCCGCAGAAACGTGACTTGGTGGCCGCCAGCCACCAACGTAAACCGATCGCATTGCGATAAGTTACGGAAGCAGAGGCTGTGTCCAAAACTGTCGCTCGATTTGGAGCACGAGCGTGGACTCTGACGACGCACTTGTCTGCGCTGACCTCCGGGTGCGTTTTGGTGGACGTCCGCAACGTCGATGTGAACGGATTGACACCATCCAGCTGGCAAAGCCAGATGGCCCGAATGCTGACCCTTGGTGGTGATCTGCTAGAAGTCGCTCAGAAACTCAAGTACCTGGGCAGCTATATTAGCTCCCGTGGGATGGAAGATGAGGTTACGAACCGTACAACAAAAGCTCGAAGTGATTTTGCCAATCTCCGCCACCTGTGGCGCAGACGCGACATTACTCTCGCCTTGAAGGGCAGAGTTTATAACACAGCCGTCCGTTCAACTCTCCTATATGGTTGTGAAACTTGGCCCATTAGGTCGATAGACATAAAGAGGCTCGTCATCTTCGATTATCGCTGCCTTCGTAGCATAGCTCATGTCTGGTGGGCGCATCACGTGAGCAATGAGCGTGTTTAACTTCGCTTATTTGGTGCAGGTAGAGCGAATGAACCGCTCAGCACCATTATATCACGCACCAGGCTCCGATGGATGTGCCACGTGTTGCGCATGCCAGCACACCGACTCCCGCGACGTGCGTTGTTTGCGCATTGTGGGTGCGGTTGGAAGAGGAGGAGGGGAAGCCAAGCGATGACTTGGTCGAGAGAAATGAAAATTCCCACTTCGAAGTTGGCGTCAGTTGGTGCATCCCGACTGCCTGGCTGGGGTCCTAAGGGCGATGAACACGTTTGGTTGGACACACTTGCTGATATGGCTAGGAGCCGTCCCCAATGGCGTTTGTGCTGTGAGTTCGTTTGTCCATCCCCCTCCTGCTTAGCCTCTCCAATCACGATCTCACTGGTTAGGCATAATATAACACTTTTGCGGCAGGATAGCCGGCTGTTAACTCTCCTGAACGATGTCCATTCGTTACTGGGGTCTCAGCCGGCGTGCCACTGCTTTTTTGTTTGTTTTTCTTATTGTCTTTTGTATTGCGGCACAATAGCTGATGTGTTTTCCACCTGCAGCTAACGTGTATAATGAATGAATGAATTTGCGCGGAAGACCTGCGGATAATTTGCTGAGAAGCATCTGACCAAGAGCGGAGTTAACTTAGTTTTTGCGTATGCAGGACTGACTGATTGACTCAATGTCAGTCAAAGTATCTATAACTTCCAGGTTCGTATGGTAAATCGATCAGACAGCGGTGCTTCGCGTCATCTAGCAAATCAAAGTATTGCACGAAGTCAAGGCCAGGAATTGGCCCCCGAACACCTGCAACGAGGAAAATCCATTTGAAGGGACGTCGTAGGCTTAAATTAAACATACATGTGGATGATGGTACCTTTGGTTGAGCCCAGTGAGCCAATCACCTTTTTAGGGTTTTCTGTGAAGGTTCATCGCATTTAGACACTGGTAGACAGTCACCACACATCTAGGGAAGCGCTTCCACAACATCTCATACCCTCCCTACTACTTACAAACCCGTTTCGGGACTTTTTATTGCTAGGAAGGACGCTAACTTGAGCACTCGTGTCCACCAAGTAGCGACCTCCTGTTTCTTGATCGTTTAGGAAGAAAATGCGACTGGCGACTGGCAACATCCGTCGCCACTATGTGCTGGTCGGCCCGTTTCCCAGTGACTTGCCATAGAAAGCACAGGGTGAACCACAGTATCTGGTTATTTCACAAAATCTTCTGTGGTACCAGCAGTGGGTATGTGAAGTGACGTAGTAACTACTATTGGTGCCCGGAGCAGTAGTAAAATTTCCTCGCTGACTGACAACAGAATAGACGCGTGAAGGCCACACCATTGGCTCAGGATAAAGTGCACATTATTCTTCGGTGAAATGGATGCTAGTTTGAGACATTGTGGTGAATGTGCTGAAATTGACCATAATGGGACAAGCAAGGGGCTCGCTGTAAAGAACGTTTGCACAGCTGTGACACATGGCAGAAAAGTGTTGTCGGCCATACACACTGTAGCGTTAAGATATTCAACCCTCTGCTTATCTGAAAATTGCCCTTTATATTTGGTGTCGAACAATCAACGGTACCAAAAATACCGCCCCCTATCACATGCCTACCGGGGCGGACTGCCTCGCCTTGCTACGCTTTTGTGTAAGTGGCTTCGCTGGGATCTCGAGAAAGACGTGGAAGGTGACGAACGGAATAGGCTCCAAGAGATGTTTTTTGCAGCGTTCCCTGATGCTACTATTTCACCGATTCGTTTATTTAGAGTAGCAACGATCGATGCCAACAGCGTAATGTTGTCTTCCTGCGTTGACTGGATGTGCGTGATTCGATCGTAAGATTTCCAGATAGGGTTAGCCTTGTCGACTGGTTGAGATATGGACTCATCAGCATTATCGTATAGTGTGTTGCACATTTCTCGTGGAAGGCGGCGCAACCACATTTTTTGACTTGGTTAGACTCTGAATCTTCAGCAATAGCTTATATGGTTTCAACTCACCTTGCTCGGTGGCATTACTAATCAGTCGTTTATTTTTCACTTTTAGGCTTCTGAGCATAGTCTCGGTGTACTCTGGTACACAGACGCAGGGTTAGTTTGGACGCTTTTATTGGAACAGTTTCCTCCTGACTATACGACTTCACGATTCAGAGTTCCACCCTCTCCGGAATTGTTCCCACTGAAGGTGAGTGGCGACTTTCTAGTTCACAACTGAATCTGTTCTCCAGATGAAACTACCTTCGGAACATAACAGGCTGCGCATTAATCCGGATCGCTTGGGAGACATTTTGAGCCGTCTTTGCCCATATATTTCTATCAAGACCCCCGATGTTTGATAGATACTGCTCAACCCAGTGGAACGGTCTTCTGTAATCATCGTTCTGTAAATACTTTGTCTAATGTAGTTCTTTTGTCCATCTCTGGTTTTCTTTTCTCCGTGGAACGAAGCAGTTCCTGCCACCTTAGTTTCTCACGGTCTCTGCCTAATAACTTGATCGCTGAACTAAGGGCATGTAGCCGTCCGTTTCGTATTCACTCCTTGAAATGCATCTGGCCATTGATATTCAAAGTTCTGCAGTTGCTTCAGTGTGCATCCCATCGGTTCGAGTGAGGCCACCCCTACTCGGTAGTCAACTGAGTTGCAAGCGGTCACGTAGCTAACTAAGAGAGTTGCAATCAAACGCGATTTAGAGCGATGTGGTTGATCAGTTCTCCGCATACTTGTATATGTGGCTCGGGTGTATTCACGGACGCGGAAATACACGGTGTAAATGTTTATGAACGTACTAGTTCTAGTTGCTATAATATATACCAGTGAATAAGAGTCTACAATATGTATGACGTTGAATATGTTCTGAAGGGCAGCAAATAGGGTTGGAGTCGAAAGTTTTCATGAATGTGGTGGAGTGCTTCAGATTGGACCAGTAGACTCAGGACAAAGCGTGGACTGAAACAGCGACATGTCTGTGGGACAATGCTTTTCTGACACCCCGCAAAAGCCTTTCCTAAATGTTCTTCCTTGGCATTTCTCCCGCTTCGGGATCCAGCAAGCCGATTAACTTCCCGTCGTAAATTTCGTGCCACTGCGCATTCCGGGCTGCCAACTGCAACAGAGAGAATCGACTCTGTTGTCTTCTAACTGATTTTGACATTAGCACGTCAACGACAAGTTGCTAGCTAAACTCATGAAAAACGGCACGGGCAACCCGTGATGCAGGTAGAGTGCTTGACTACTTTTTTAGCGCGGCTGCGTAAAGATTGAAGGGTTGATCACAAAATCAGCCTTAGGGTTGGGTCTCGACGAGGACATCCATCTCAACATAAACCAGCTGTTTGACATCCATGCTGTATTACGGTAATGCATTCAATTCTGATGTTATATCGTACTTGGGTGTTCAGCGACTTTCAAAAAACCAACCACTAAAGCTGTTCGGCGGAGATCAAGTGGAATGCACAAGCAAGCCTAGAGAAAAATCACCAGAGTCGATATGTTGCCGTCGGAAGTCTGAAAACACTCCTGTTGCCGTTAAATAAGCTGTAAACACGCCATTGGCAACGGAAAACGTTCACCCCATTTTGAACCTTCCTCAGTAACCACGAACTGATGCAATCCTTCGAGTAAATCAAGACGGTATTCCGCACTTGGGTTTGCACACATCACCAGTCTCTCCTTTCAGGTCTTCCGAGCACCAAACACCCTTTAGGAAGCCGCACCAAGCCCACGATTCCACACGACACTTCAAGTACATGCCTGGTGGTCTCGGCTACGCTTTCGAATTGAATGGTTGTAACTGTATCGCTGGACACGGTCAGGTGCGGTATGTGTGCCATCTGCATTCACGCCGATTATATCTACAAAACTGATCAAGACTTGGCGGCGTCCGTATCTGGATTTACCTGTTACTGTGACCTCCATGGGGACAGTCACAGGGCGCCTGCGCCTACAGAAGGACCATGGGTGGCTTGCGCTGCACCACCCACAGCTCCACCCACACACCTCATATCCAGTGTAAACCCGAAAGAATAAGACTGGGAGGCATGTGGATGGGAGCCACGTTTTATCAGCGGAGCCGGCCCACACTCCTTCAACAAGCAGAACAGAAGCATTCCTGCCTAATTAGGAAATCATGCACACCAGATGTACACATGGCGGTGGCTGGACCGTAGCCCGTTCCACACAGGATGGAACCACTCTTTGAGCATTACACCGTCACACGGATGGTGCACCCCATTCCCTCCAGCAACGACCAACTGTCCCCTGGAGCCAGTATGGACGAGGTAGTGGGTAACAGACAGGTAGACATCTTGTCAACATTCACATCAGGCGCAGCCACACCGGGGAGCTCAAACAGCATCTACTTCTGAAATGCAATATTACTCATCACGCAGGCAAACGTACCACATACGCCACCTTATTGGTCTGGATTAGTAAATCGAATGAGAGCGTACGCATCATGCTTTTGTACCGTGTGCAATAGTGCCTTCTCCTACACCTGAGCAACCGCCCTTTTTAGTAGTCCACGGAATTCGCATCGATCAAATTTATCTTAGATTCACAACACCTGAAATCAACATGAGTTTGTGACAAACTCACCTTCCCCGTGTTCTGGTATGTTATTTTCCGTTTGCCCGAGTGCCGCTTTCCTGCACTAAGTTGGCCGTACAAAAGCGGTATGAGTATCCTCGTCGAATTCATTCGATATGCATATATACATGGATTGGCGTCATCCGTGTCCAATGGCAGTTCGAATACAACATATGCACATGAGTTTATCCAAACTTAAGGATGATTTATCAAAAACTGGATAGAGACACATTAAACCTCATGAACAATTGTACTACAGCGTGTATGGATTTCCTTTGGATGTCAGGCTAACACGCATGGGAATAAATACCCAATACGTACTGTTGGTGTTTGTCTCTTGCGGCCTCGTTGGCACGACAACTACCACAGTACTATATCACTAAGTCCCGCTGCTCACTGTCAAACATGCAGTTTTCCAAACATGATTCGCACTATGTTGCAAATGTCCAAGACGTAGCATGGCTGTCATCCAAGTACTCATCCGTTTGTACATACCGTTGTGTATCCTGCTGTGGCCATAATCTTTTTGCTTACGATCTACATCGTGGGCCTTGGGTGCAGCTATTCGGTGCTCCTAAAATGAACAATATTCGCTATGCGCCGCTTTCCGATGTAACTGACTGAGACGCTGACGTGCCATTCCCGTTGGCATTGCCTTTTTCTTAGTCTGCCTAGAAGATTGATCCTGTCTGATACAATTTTTAATAGGTGCCTCTTGCACAGGTGCAACAATGCTACTGCATTGCACTAAGTCCGTAGTTAATCATTCTAGCTAGTAACTGAACTCAAGCGATACTTACATTAGCGATGGAATAAGGATGGCACAGGGAAATCGTGCGCTGGAGTCAACTGATTTTCATAAGCTCAGCTAAGTTAAGGTTTCGGATGAAGAACGGGAATTACAGCTCTAATCATTCTAACAGATTTAATGTGAAACATAACATGCTTGACACATCAACATCAGCACGTTAATCGCTAGTCAGTTACTTGCCGGGACTGTTCACTTTCCACGGGTGTTCCGGAGCGATTTATCTTTGAATACATGATCCAACTTGAACATGTCCATCAGATTGCAGATTTGCCACCAAACCGAGGAAGCATTGCTTTTGCATACTGTAATAGGTAACCTGTTTGGAGGCTATGGTAATGATAAGGTACGGTAACATAAAGTAACATGAGGTAAGTTAGTGTAACCCAACTGCGATGAAGAAGCATGGTATGTAAAACATCAAAACTCATCATAGGGGCTCTCGTATGTGGGCATCTGTGTTCGAATTACCAGTAGGGTAAATACAGTGCGCCTGCGTTTTTGCAGAACAATGGATGGTTGTCGCTGCGCTGCAACACTCGACAAATTATTGCAGTACCAGTGCAAAAGTCCTCCCGTGCAATGTTGCTAGCGAACGGGGATTCCGTTCTGACTCACCTCGCTCTATGACGTTTGGCCGGTTTAACGTGTACCGTCCCTTCTCATTTGCGTACCACCAAGGGCCACATGTCAATCCGTGGTGCTCGGTCTAACAGTCGATCTGTTCGTCATAGCCCCATCGTGGCCTCCTTGATGACTGGCCAGACCGGCTGGGCTAAAGCACATATGGCCACATGCATTACAGCTCTATGTGGGAGTAGCTGAAGGATTGCAGTCTGCCGGCAGCTGATGTTCACGTGCCGCACGTTTAATTTCCCTATGCACCAGCTGTATTTCTTGCCCTATGGCAACGGAACACGTGGTGAGATCACGCCATGTGCGGCGATTCGTTGCCATCTCCTATGAAACACTTAGGTCAATACTTACTCAGGAAAACTAATCTTGATATTGTCTTGGTAGCGCAACTTTGGCCTGCCTGCATTCCGGTCGCCTGCGCTCAGTTGCCCGTGTATGTATGTATGTAATCTCAGCAGTCTAGCAACTAGACACAGCCAGTAGAAAACCATGGAGATCAGCGGATAACAGACAGTTATTGCGTCATAATCATCGTGGCATAGTAGTTGAAAGTGAACAACACACTTCAGCTAATATGCCACAGGAAGAAAGGAACATTTCGACAAAAAGTAGAATAAAACATTTTTAGTTTGTTTTTCACATGCCAATTTTTCTCTTTTTTGTTATTTTCGATGTTTGAAGGATTAAACATGTGAATCAACACAATACTGTACACAATTCTTCCACTGATTCCGGTTGCGGGCTGTCTTCAAGAGTGTTAAACGATTGACACTCCTCTCCTCTGGGTCCTCATCCTGGAATATCGACGGACCCAACAACGGCTAGACACGATGTCAGCGATTTCATGTGCTGTCGCCAAGTGGAAGACTGATCGCCATGCGGTCGCCTCCAGCCAGGTCCTTGACGAGCGAATAGAGCGCGGAGTGGTAGACGCTCAGGTCCCATGCGTAGGACGTGACCGAGCCATCTTAACTGGCGCAACAAAACCAGGTTGTTGAAGGGAATACTTACATTCCCCAAGATGCGACGTCGAACCTCATGACTAACAACTCGATGTTGCCACCATACACGAGCGATGCTCCTTAAGCAACCGTTATCGAAGGCAGAAAGACGACGCATGTCTTCCACGCGAATCGGCCAGGACTCGCACCCATACAACAATACTGAGCGAACTGATGCGCTGTAAACGCGGCCCTTTAGCGAGAATGAGACGACGCCACAAGTGCCTCAGATTGACAAATGCTGATCGAGCTTTAGCGATGCGAAGAGAAACTTCTTTGTTGATAATGCCGTCAGCAGAAACACAG